GTGGATTAACCAGCAGATTTCCCCCGTGTGATAACGTCCTGAGAGGTGATAGATAAATGTTGCAAGTGAATAAAAATAAATATATTTAAATCAATTAAGCCTCCTTTTAAGTACCTGAAAACAGAATGCTGCTGCTTATTTTTATTTAATTTAGAGCACAAATAATTGCTGCATTAAATGCACTCCTCGTAGTATGATCTAGTGCAGGTCATTTGACTAACCAATTTCTGATAATAATCTGCATGGTTAAGATTTATGAAAGGCTCTGCAAAGAATGAGCAGATGATATGTACACCTTCATGCTGATGCTTAATGATAACCTGTTCATTTGACCATTCTGTTTTCTTCATGTCATTCCCCACCTCCATCCCCCCACCCTGAAGCAATCAGACTGTTTTACATGATGAATCAGAGCAGCAGGCTCTGAAATTGCTTGGCCCTAAGGTAGCAATTAATATGTCAAGATATAGTGCAGAATCAGGAACAAACATAATTTCAGAGTGGATAAAGACAAAGAAGTATCACATATTCTTCTAACTTCAAGAACTGTAACCCAGATTTGCTTCCCTTTCTCTTCCCTCTCTATTCTCTCCTCCCCCCTTTATTTCCATTAGACTGTGTCACCTGAAGGCAGCAATAAGAATAGACAATTGTATTACAATTGGGGAGACCTGGATTAAAATTTCAGGCATAAAGTTTACAGGGTGATTTTGGGCCAATCACTGCTGGCAGTTTTCTTATGACATAAATACATACGTATTGCTCCATGCTGTTTATATATATTTTTATATGGGTTATTTCTATGTAATAAATTAGTACGCTGATCATGCACTGACGCTGTTTTACCTTTTGACTGTGTTACAGTTTCTGAGTCTGTATGCTCATGAATGTTCCCCTTCCTTTTTTTCAGAGTCTGCCCTCAAAATATTTCTCTGAAGATAAAAGTACTTGAGAACATTCAGTAACTGAAAATGTTAGCTTCTATTGTACTTATCTGTGCCATCACAATACCCTTCTTAGAATTAACAAATGGAACTGTAATGCCTCCATTTTCATCATCATATCAGCCTGTTTGAGTGGGGAAGAAATCAGTGGCAGCCACAGTGAGAGCCCATGTGGGTGTCCACACTGCCTTTATTTGTCTACAGATGCTGAGAGACAACAAGGAAGGAGAGTATATGAAGCAGGAGCAATGCTGAGCCATGACTATCAGTGTAGATGCAGCTACAGCTGCTACTATGCTGCCACAATGCAGAGACCCTCAAATAGGATTGCCAGTTCAGGACCCTCCAAGGCTTTGAGGTTTATAGACCAAAACCTGAGATCTAGGAACAGCCCCTGGTGATATCATTAAGTACTAATCACATAGGCTTACAGCATGCCATATGGGGAGAGAGAGCACACATTTTCCTCTTAAGAAGTAAAGACAGTTTTAGCAAAACTGACTGTTCCCAGATCAAGGTGAAATGTGGGGATTATTCCTTTTCACCTCTTTAAGAAGATGATGTGAGGAATATTTAATCTAGCTTTAATCATACTTCTAACCAGAAGGTGGAAACAGACCAGGACAGAGAGTGAGTCTTGGCATTACAAGGACTGTGAGAGGCTTTGTAGACTGCTAGAAATAGTACAAATTGAGTCCGCTTTAAATGCCCTGGCTCAGTGCTAGGGAATCATGGGAATTGTCTTTTTTTCTGAGACATTGAGCCTTCTCTGTCAGAGAGCTCCGGTGCCACAATAAACTACAGTTCCCATGATTCCCTAGCACTGAATCAAGGCAGTTAAAGTGGACTCAGTTTGCACTATTTCTGGCAGTCTGCAAAGGCCCTAAGATCCAAAACATACTTCAGAAATAATTCAGTTTGACACCACTTTAACTGCCCTGGCTCAATGATAGGGAATTCAGGGAGCTGTAGTTTTGTGAGACATTTAGCCTACTCTATCTGATTGCTCTGGTGCCCCAATAAACTACAGTTCCTAGGATTAACACTGAGCCAGGGAAGTTAATGCAGTCTCAAATTAGATTATTTCTGCAGCATGTTTTGGACCTAAGTAAACATAGACCTCCTTGAGATCTTTGCAAGTTGCAACAACAAATCAATGAATCCTTCAACACTGTAGTAAGCTTCAGTTCAATTATCTGAGCTGGATATTTGCACACAATCCTTTGCTCTTGCCTGAAGATGGCCCCATGAAGACTGGATAATGCACCATAGGGCCTAAGTAGACTGCCAGAAATAGTGCACTTTAAATTGAGGCACTGCCCTGGCTCAGTGCTAGGGAATGATGGGAACTGTAATTTATTGTGGCACCAGAGCTCTCTGACAGAGAAGGCTCAATGTCTCAGAAAAAAAATACAATTCTCATGATTCCCTAGCACTGAGCCAGGGCAGTGCCTCAGTTTAAAGTGCACTATTTCTGGCAGTCTGCAAAGGCCCTTTAGTCTTGCATTTGTAGATGACCTATAGGAGACTGGGCCAGACCCTGACAACACTACCTGCAATAGGTTTGCAGTCACTCTTTTGGACTATAGCTCTGAAAATCTCACAGCTAGCTGGGGATTTAGGTAGCAATTATTATTCCATACTCTAGTAACATCTGCACTACTTCATCTGAGCTATCCTCATTGGCCAGTAGGTGAGAAGTACATCACACCTGCACATCAATCACTTTCATTTGTGTATCTTTTAGAATACTGTGAAGGATTCAGTGCAAGCATTTAAAGCCTTCATTTTGCTTTATTACAGTTCTCACTACTTCTAGGCACAACACTTCTATGAGACTCCCATTGGTCACTGCTAATATATTTTGATTTAGCTTGAAAAGCAAAAATGAGGTCACTGTTGGAAAAGTATCTGAGCTTGCACTAGTGCTTTGTAATTGAAATTCAGTAATTCTGTTGATGTTGCACAACTTGGTAGATAAATGGTATTTGAACAGAGCTGGGAGGCAGAAAAACCTTGATTTTTCACTATACATCTGCTTACTCTGGAGAAGCTATTTTTGCAAAGCAAATTTTCAAATCTTCCTTTGGTTCAAAGTACTGACTCAAATGTTGCTATGGGTGATTAAATAATGTTATAAGTTAGACTTAATCTATTTTGTGCTTGCATCATAAACAATTCCTGGGAGTAAACTCTGGTAAATTTAAACTAGCTAGATTATACTGTTCTGAACCAATTTGTATGTTTCCAATATTTCCACTTTTTTTCTATTTATCTTTTTGTAAGGATGACATTTTGCTTGCTCCAACGATGGGCAAGGCAGCATTCAACATGCTTGTTTTCAGTCCCTTTTATCTTTGGATTTATTCATCCCATAGGAATGCTGAAGAATATGCTATCCACATTTTTTCTCCACCAAGACAACTGGACATACAATTGAAAGAAGAACCATAGTGAATCAGTCCAAAGACCTATCTAAATCCAACATTCTGTTTACACACTGGCCATTCAGTTGTCTGTGGGAAGCCATGGTAATTAATTTCTGAACATGGAAATTGTCTACTAAGACTCAGCAGCCAGTTCAGCTGGATTCTGAATTCTGAACTGTATTGGGCCAATCCAGACCTAATTATTCCAGAATCAGATCATATCAACTTGGCCAGTCTAGTTCTTCAGAGGCAAGACTCACTCCAAAGCAATCCAACTCTTCTACAGATTCAGATGACAAAAACAGGTGTGGAGAAGTTAGACAATATGTCTGCAACATGATTATATAAGGAAAATGCCAAGCTGGTATAAAGTGAAGGAAGCAGCTTAAAGAAATGTTTTGTTCATTGATAGTTCATATGTGAAATCTGGGGCAAGAATCTCACCATCACTCTCTCATTACAGTGGTTTTTGAAAGGGGTTGTATAAAGTCATTGAATGTATATAGTCAGTGATCTCTTACATCTCTTCATTCATTTGCTAGACTGAGCTGTTAGTAGCAGTTGATTGGTGTAGTGGTTTGAGTGCTGGATTATGACTCTGGAGACCAAAGTTCAAACCCCTGACTGGCCATGAAAACTCGCTTGATGACCTTGGGCGAGTAACACTTTCTCAGCCTCAGGATGGCAATGACAAATCCTCCTCTGATGAAACTTGCCAAGAAAGCCCTGTGGTAGGTTCTCCTTAGGGTTGCCATAAGCTGGAAATAATTTGAAGACACACAACACAACACACACTTGCTGTGATGAGTTTTTGGATGATTTTTGATTGTCATTTAAACTTGGTATTTCTGAGTCTTTCTCTTTTCATTTCCCAACCTTTTGTGTTCTTGACTAGTTATATTAATTCTCTGCTTGTCTCTTTTTAATTAATTTGAAATCTCATATTCTCTTGCTCTTCCAACATGCATATTTATTTTATTCACTGGTCAAATATGTTATGCATATTACAAATTTAATCAATATTTTAAATAAAAGCAAACAATTTAATAATAACAACAACAACAACAACAACAACAATTTACCCTTTTCTTTCATACTGGTTGAGCAAGCACACCTCAAAAGTTAATTCCCATTTACTATTTATTGTTGTGTGCCTTCATGTCATTTCCAACTTATGGTAACTCTAAGGCAAACGTATCATGGGGTTTTCTTGACAAGATTTGTTCAGAGGAGATTTGCCATTGCCTCCCCTGAGGCTGAGAGCATGTGACTTGCCCAAGATCATGCAGTGGATTTAATGCAGGGGTCAGCAACCTATGGCCCCCAGGCCAGTTCCGGCCCAGGTCGCTGGACTTATTGGCCCAGGCGGACCCCTG